TCCTTGTCAGTGAGTGGGGAGGGGGCCGTGGGGAGGGGAGGGGGCGCGGGAGGGTAAGAAGAAAGGCAGACGCTCCCCCCCCATCCAGGTCGGGAACGATGGGAGTTAGTGTCTAGGAGACCTCCAAAGCAGCGGTCCCCTCCAACCTTTGGGGCACCAGGGACCGGTTCCGTGGAGAGGGGGGCTTTTCCACGGACTGGATTGGGGGGGGGATCCGTGCTTTCGCGTGCTGCCTGGATCCCCCGGCTCGGTTTTGGGCATGCCGCGGCCCGGTGCCGGTCCAGGGACCCCGGACAGGGAGTTGGGGACCCCTGCTCTAAGGGGAGAGTCCTCCCTACCCAAGCGCGCCTGCCGTCTATAAAGGTCCCCCCAGGCTTTTGGTGCCGGACGATGCAAGCTGGGACCCCTCCCTCCATCCCGGGTGGAGCTTCCCCCAGGACAGGAGAGGGGTCCTGGGGAGCGGGGGGGCCAGGAGGGCGAAGGGGGGTGGGCTGCCTGGGGGACGCGACTCACCTGCAGGCATAGCATCTCCAGGGCGCAACAAGCCAGCGCTGCGTAAAGACAACGGCGCGTCCTCATTTCGATGCGGGAGAAAAGCGAAAATGCCAGCAACTAGCCCGAACCCGTGAGGCCGAGGCAGGCAAGGCGAGGGGCGGGCTCGGCCGGGAAGAGGCTGGCCGGGGTGGGCGGACGGAGAGGGAGGGAGGGAGGGGCCGAGTTGTTGCTGACACCCTCGCAAAGCACCCAGATCTGAAAAAACCCAGCTGTACATTTCGCGCGGAGGAGGGAAATTTAATCTGGAGAAAAGCAAAGTTTGACAGCTAGGCAGGAACAAAACACACACACACAAAAAAAGCAAAGGCACAAATCCAGATTAGGCAAATTATCCTAGAAAAGAGGAGGGGGTCAATTTATTTTGCAAAGCACCAGAAGTCAAAAGACAAGAAGCGACGGATGGAAACTCATCCAGGAGAGAAGCAACCTGGAATGAAGGAGAAACTTCCTAACAGCGAGGACGATTAACCAGTGGAACGACTTGCCTCCAGAAGTTGTGGGTGCTCTGGAGGTTTTCAACAAGAGACTGGACAAACATTTGTCTGAGGTTGTGGGTCTCCCACCCCGAAAAGGGAAGGGGGGGGGCAACTGGGAAGATGTGGCTGTGAAAACTCTATTTATCAATCAGAATAGAAATGGAAGGGAGCTTGGAGGTCTTCTAGTCCAACCCTAGACCATTTCAATCAATCAATCAATCAGAATAAAGTTGGAGGGGACCTTGGAGGTCTTCTAGTCCAACCCCCTGCTAAAGCAGGAGACCCTATAGCAGTTCAGAGAAGTGACTGTCCAATATCTTCTTAAAAACCTCCTCTGATGAAGCACCCACGACTTCTGGTGGCAAGCTGTTCCACTGGTTAACCGTTCCCACTGTTAGGAAGTTTCTCCTTCATTCCAGGTGGCTTCTCTCCTTCCTGCAAGGAATCCAGCTCTTGACCAAGGCAAGGTATTGCTCCAACTGGAGGGCCGAAGGTTGAACTTTTCTGCTGCAGTCAGCACTGATTTGTTTAATCACTGCTGGGTGACTAAGAGCCCCCTGGTCTGTCTTCACACATCACGCCGAACGGTTTAAATCGGTGTACCAGCTTTCGTGACCAAGTTCATCCAAGCTATGAAGGCAAGCAGAACTTTTGTCAAAATGGGTTGCTCAACCCACTCCACCCAGACAAATAAAAAGGGTAGCTTCGCACTGGGCCAATGTACGGGAAGCCCTCCCCGTTTCTAATGTTTGTTTTGAAAATACGGGAGAAATGCAAATTATGGGAGGCGAATCGTTTGGCAAATGGGCCAGCTGGCACAAAGCCGGGACGTTTGGGGATTTTTAGGAATGGAATCCCTTGCGTTTGGTTTAATTGAGATGGCATATTATAGGTTCTGCTGCTAGAGCAGGGGGCTGGACTAGAAGATCTCCAAGGTCCCTTCCGGCTCTTCTTCTGTTCTAAGAATATTCTAAGAAGATATAATTTCGGTCTTTTTGCTTTCGATTGGGACCCCAATCATAGAGATAACCCTCAATTTATAACTGTAATTAAGCCCAGAATGATAGAAAGAAGGGGTTGTTGTCATAGTTGAGGCAGGGGTCTTCAAACTTGGCCCTTTGATGACTTGTGGACTTCAACTCCCAGAATTCCTCAGCCAGGCACAAGGAATTCTGGGAGTTGAAGTCCACAAATCATCAAAGGGCCAAGTTTGAAGACTCCTGGTTAGTGCCATTTGTATTAGTCATTAAGTGAACACGGCAGTTGTTCTGCAAATGCCCTGGTCATTAAGCAAGTCATTTCCCCCCAAATGGGCCGCCGTAACTTCAAAAAGGTGGAAGGGACCTCGGAGGTCTTCTAGCCCAACCCCTTGCTCAAGCAATCTTTCCTCAAGCGTGATCCCTTCTGTCCTGCCCGTGGCAGATCTACTTAACGTCTCAGCCAGGGGGGTCCTTCCGCTTAGCCGTGCCCTGGGAGACCCCTCCTCCCCTTTTACCCAGGGATGATTGGCATTTTGAGCAATCTGGACTGGGGGTTTCCCCTTTTCTCCCCGGAATCTGCTTCCGCAGCCTTTTCCGACACGGTTTCTGAGGTCCCAAATGAGGAAACAGCACCCAAACTGGGAGGCGGGGGGGGAAAAAAAAAGGGATTTCCTTGCATTTCGTTATGGGGCAATCCTTTTGCACAATCTGGCGACGGGATTGCGGTGAAGGGCCTTGCTCACGTTCCCGGCCGTCATGTGTTCCTGCCGGCTTCCTTCCGCTTGTCAGAAGAATCATTTGGGGTTCCAGAGCCACAAGAATAAATAAAAATGAGATCCAGACAGCTGTGAGGAAAGAAGACATATTTATTCCTAAAAGCAAGGGGTTCGCCTGTAGGGTCAGCTACAGGGAAACGGGGTACCGAGAGACTGTTTTATAGGGGGAGCTTGTCCTGGGCGTGGGAGTGTGTGTACGTGCTGATTCTGGAGTGACACTTGAGGGGCGTGTGTGCGCGTGTATGTGTGTGTGTGTGTGTGTGTGTGTTTCTGTGAACATGCAGTTCCTCTGGGAAACCTAATTTAATGGACTCCGTTTGCGTTTGCAGACCTCATCCTTCGATATGTGGATTAGTAATAGTAATAATAGTAAAGTTGGAAGGGACCTTGAAGGTCATCTAGTCCAACCCCCTGCTCAGGCAGGAAACCCTATCCCATTTCGGACAAATGGCTGTCCAGTCTCTTCTTAAAGACTTCCAGTGTTGGCACATTCACCGCTTCTGGAGGCAGGTTGTTCCACTGGTTAATTGTTCTCACTGTCAGGAAGTTTCTCCTTAGTTCTAGATTGCTTCTCTCCTTGATTAGTTTCCATCCATTGCCCTTTCTTTCTTTCTTTCTTTCTTTCTTTCTTTCTTTCTTTCTTTCTTTCTTTCTTTCTTTCTTTCTTTCTTTCTTTCTTTCTTCCTTCCTTCCTTCCTTCCTTCCTTTCCTTCCTTCCTCCCTCCCTCCCTCCCTCCCTCCCTCTTTAGTTCTAGGTTGCTTCTCTCCTTGATCAGTTTCCACCCGTTGCTTCTCGTCCTGCCTCCAGGCGCTTTGGAGAATAGCTTGACTCCCTCTTCTTTATGGCAACCCCTGAGATATTGGAACACTGCTATCATGGATTAGGTCTGGGTAACTGATTTGGGGGGTTGAGGAAGTTTGGGTAAAGGATTTCTCCCCCCCCCCATTTGCCATTTTTACTTGGATTAATTGAGCTTCAGCTTGACTGTCCGTTATTCAGTGGAGATGCCGATTCTCAGACCGCGCTGGATAGTCTGTTCATATTTTAAGGGAAGAGAGAAACGGTGTAAAGAGGAAATATTTACAGCCCAAAGTTTTCAACTGGAGATCACCTTTATGCTTCCTTCTTTTTGGAGGTTTTCGCTCCTCTCCCCCCCCCTCCAAAGAGCCCCTTCCCCTCCTCCATCTGGGCCAGGCTTGCCCACCCACCCCCCATCCTTGCAGGCAGACAATCAGGGATGAGCACATCAGAGGGCCTTCCCCCCCTATGTAAAAATGGACTATGACACCTGTCCCAGGTGAGCCAATGGGACACCCGCTGACACTTAGGGCCCATTTGGCTTCCGGGTCTGGGAGGAAGTGAGACCCCCCCCCAGTCTGGAGAAAGGTAGGGGGTGAAAGGACAGGTCAAGGTGGGTGGGTGGGGGGTTGGTAGGAAGGCCTAGTGGGAGGAGGAAACACACCCCCTCTGTAAACTTGCATGAATTTCTCTACATTAGTGCTACGCAAAAGGAAATCCTTCTGCATTTCTCCCTCTGCTGTTTCCATTCTGTTTGCTGAATGTTCTTAAGGGCGTTAAGGGTGAACGTTCTCCAGCGCGCAGGTGTGTGTGTGTGTTTGTGTGTTTGTGTATCCTTGTGCTGCTGAGGGTGTGTGTGTGTGTGTGCAGACATGTAGGTTTTCATCGCACAATCTTTCTCCAGGCATCTGCAACTTCTTTGGCTCCCTCATTTTTTACTTACAACCCCCCCCCCAGGTAAGACACCCACCCACCCAACCCCTCCCCCTTTCAAAGGAGACCGTTTCAAAGAGAGGCAGTTGGGTCTAGTGGTTAAGTCACCAGGCTAGAATGCAGGAGAGAGCATGAGTTCGAGTCCTGCCTTAAGCCCTGAAACTGGCTGGGTGACTTTGGGCCAATCTGCCTTAGGTCAGCCCACTTCACAGGGTTGTTGTTCGGGGGGGAAAGGAGAGAGGAGGAGCAAGGTGCGTTATGGCTGTCTGAGGAATTCTGGGAGTTGAAGTCCACACATCTTAAAAGTTGCCAAGGTTGGGGGGGTAAAAAACCCCCTAAGATAACAATTTTAGATTTGAACTCTGTAATTCCGGTCACTTTAATTGTCCTTCTGTCCTTCTTCTCTGAGTTTTCTCTCTGATTTCTTTACTCAGACATAAAAACACAGCTTCCCTTTCTGGGATCAACTTGGAGCACAAGAATGAATCCACTGCCAGACAGAGAGGAGAATCTTGCCGGGGATCCACCCAAACCTTTGGATCACTACATACGCGAAGGTGAGTTTCCTGTCTTCAGGAAAACAAGCCCTACTTAGAACAAGACTAACCAGGTTTCCGTAGAAAGATGCAACCCAGGACGGCCTCCGTGTTTGAGGATTGCAGGTTGTTAGCGGGGCTTTTCAAATAGTATTTTGGAGGTGTCAATGGACTCTGAGGATGCCCTTAAAATACAGGCAGTCCTCATTTAGTGACCAGACTTGGGACTGGCAATTCTGTCATTAAGCAAAGCGGTCACTAGGAGGGAAATCGTGTGACCGGGAGTGTCTTTCTTTTTCTCTACTCCTTCGCTCTTGGAGTGCTCCTTCCGATGGCGGTGAAATAATGAGCCAAAAAGGGGAACCGTTTGTAGTTACATTCAATGGAGAGAAAGGGATTGTAAGAGAGTAAGCAGGCACACAGTGAGGATTATACATCAAAAGCAATATGATGTATAATCACCAGTGTGCCTGCTTACTCTCTTACAACCCCTTTCTCTCCATTGAGCCACGAGTGTGTTATACAAACAGCTCGGTGTATTCCTCACTGTGTGCCGGCTTACTCTCTTACAATCCTGTGCGCATGCTGGAAACGATGCAGAGTTCTGTTTGAGAAGAGCTTGTGTCTTTCTTCACAAAGGCGGTAACAAGTCCGAGTTATTTTTCAGGCCTGAAAGAGCTGCATGAGGAAGAGCTTCTGTGCGACACAACTATCGTGGCTAAAGGGGAACGATTTCCCTGTCACAGGTATTGTGCTATGGTGCACTTAGCTTTTTTGTGTTACAGCGGTAAGGGTGGCCAGAATTTACTGCCTAATGGAGGAGACCTGGGTAACAACAACACCCCCCCCCAAAAAAAAAATAAGTGAATCCTATTTCTCTCTGCCACTCCACTACAGTAAGATCAATTCCCAAAATTGCAGAGAAAAAAAATATTGGCAAATCCCGGAGAATTGAGGTGGAAAAACAGAAGCCTCTTTGGCCAGGCAGGAAACACTTGGAAAGCCAGATGGAAAACAACAGTTCTGTTGTGTTTCCTGATCCTAGGATACTCCTGGCGGCTATCAACCCCTATTTCCGAGCCATGTTCTCCAACTCTTTCCGAGAATGCCAGGATGGCGAGGTGCTCCTGCAGGACATGGACCCCTCCATTATTCAAGCGGTGGTGCAATACTACTACACGGAAGAAATCGTACTCACACTGGAGATTGCCGAAGATTTGTATGAAGCAGCCAGCCGCCTCCAGATCCTACCTCTGCTGGAAAGCTGTTCCAGGTAAACACCAGGCTGCATAATGCCTGCTGGATGTTTTTAATTGGCTGGGGGAACCAATGGTATAGGGTCTCCTGCTTGAGCAGCGGGTTGGTCTAGAAGACCTCCAAGGTCCCTTCCAGCCTCTACTCTACTCTACTCTACTCTACTCTACTCTACTCTACTCTACTCTACTCTACTCTACTCTACTCTACTCTACTCTACTCTACTGTCTCCTGCTTGAGCAGGGGGTTGGTCTAGAAGACCTCCAAGGTCCCTTCCTCCCTCCCCATCTCCTTCCTTTCTTCCTTCCTTCCTTCCTCCCTCCCTCCTTGGTGGGGCTCTGGTTGCTCCTGCCACCTTACGCCCCCTCCTCTCTCCACAGCTACCTACTGGAGCACCTCTCTCCGGAGAACTGCCTGAGCATCTACCAGCTGGGCTACTCTCACAACGACCCCGCGCTCTTCCAGGAGGCCAAGGGCCTGGTGCACGCCCACTTCAAGCGCCTGTCCCAGGAGACCCCCGCCTTCCTGGACCTTAACCCCAGCACCCTGGAGAGCATCCTGGCTTCCGACAACCTGCTGGTCTCCTCGGAGCTGCTGGTCTACCGGGCCGCCTGGCGCTGGGTGCAGGCCCAGAGCGCCCTGCGCCTCCCCTTCCTGGCCCGCCTGCTGGCCCAGGTGCGCTTCCCGCTCCTCACCCCAGAGGAGCTGCGCCAGGTGCAGGCCGAGCTGCTGCAGCGGCCCAAGGAGCTGCGCCCACGCTGGCGGCGCCTGAGCCGGCAGGAGCGGCTGACCCGCTGTGGGGGGCTCCGGCGTGGCATGTTCGACACCTGCATCGTCTGCGTGGACCTCTTCAACCTGGAGGGCCCCGAGCTGCGCACCAAGGACTTCCAGGTGGGCTGCTACGACCCGCAGGCCGGCCGCTGGGAGAAGCTGCCGCTGCAGGAGCGCCTCTACTGCGCCCGCTGCGTGGCCTTGCGCGACCGCCTCTTCGTCACGGGTGGGGTGCGCACTGACGACTCCTACTCCAACGCGCTGCACGAGTACAGCCCGTTGCGGGGCCGCTGGAGCCGGCTGGCGCCCATGTCGGTGGCGCGGGCCTCTCACGGCTTCCTCGCGTGGGGCGGCCGCCTCTTCGCGCTGGGTGGCTGGCGTGACTTCGAGGACTACCTGGACTCGGCTGAGAGCTACGACCTGGCCGAGGGACGCTGGGCACGTGTGGCCCGCCTGCCACTGCCGCTCAGCCACTTCGCAGCGGCTGCGCTACGGGGGCGCCTTTACCTGGTGGGTGGCGCAACTGAGGAGGTGGGTGCCTGGTATGCGTCGCGCAAAGTGCTGATCTACCAGGTGGGCGCCGACCAGTGGAGCCAGGCCTTCCTCAGCAGCGGCGGCTACTGGGCGGGCGCCGTGGCCATGAGCGAGGGCATCTACGTTGTGGGCGGCTATTTCCGTGGACGCACCCGGCACCACCAGCCCACGCGTGACCGCCGGCCTGAGTCAGACGGGCTGCGCTGCACACGGCGCTGCTTCTTCCTGGGCGCCGACGGGCGTGTGGACCGGCGTGTGGCTGTGCCCCCTTTGCCTGTGGAGCTGGCCGGGGCCGGCGTGGTGCGCTGGAAGCAGCGCATCTACGTGCTGGGCGGCGAGAACGTGGCGCTGGGCCGGGGCCGGCGGGCCGAGGGCGAGAGCGAGGAGGAGTACTACAACACTGTCTACTATTGGGAGCCCGGCGCCCCCCGCTGGACCTGCTGCCAGGAGCGGCTGCCCTTCGCCAACTGGGGGGTGAGCGGCTTCGGCTGCGCTGCCGTCAAACTGCCCAAGAAGCCCATCCTGGAGCTCTTCCGCAAGACCGCCGTGGCCCTGACCGGGCTGGAGGGGCCTGCCTGCTGAGAGGGGACCCCCCTCGTCCCCCTCTCCCCTTGTCCGCCTTTCTCTCTCATTCCCTCTCTTTCTCTCATTCTTTCTCTCTCTTGCTTTCTCTCTCTTTCTGTCTTTCTGTCTTTCTCACTGTCTCTTATTCTTTCTCTCTCTTGGTCTCTCCCTCATTCTATTTCTCTCTCTCTTTCCATCTCTCTCTCACTCCATCTCTGTCTTTCTTTCTCATCCCATCTCTTTCATTCTTTCTCTCATTCTTTCTCTCTCTTACTCCTTCTCTCCTCTCTTTTTCTTTCTCACATTCTCTTACTCTTTCTCTCTCTTTCTCTTTGTTTCTTTTTCTTCCTTTTTTCTGTCTTTCTCATATTCTCTTTTTCTTTCCATCTCTCTGTCTCTCCCTCTCTCTCTCTCTCTCTGTCTCTCTCTCTCTCTCTCTCTCTCTCACACACACACACACACACACACACACACACAAACACAAACACACACTGGGGGCCCCAACCGGAGGGACCCCCTTGTCCCACACAGAGTCTAGAAAGAAAAAGTACTCCCTTGCCTACACGTGTGTGTCTGCCTTTCATTCGTGAGGGAGGGGCCCGGATATCTGGGCAAATTATTTTACTTTTGCAATGTTTAAAATGTTTTCACCCAATCGCACAGGAGAGACCCCTCCCCCAGACCGTGCCTTCCATTGCCCCTTGAATTTATTGAAAAGAACGAGAAAACAGGAACTTGAATATCAGAGTCACCAAACTCCATGAAATTCTAGCCGGTGGTAACTTGAGGTCAGGTGAGGACACCAACATCTTCCGAATGGGATGTTGTCACACCTGCTAGGATTTGGTGCGTTGGAGACATCGGAATGTCGCTCCATGTGTTCTGAGGTCCTCAGTCTTTGTAGCCTTTGAGTAACCTTGATAGGCTAGTAGGCCAAGGCCCATAGAAGCCAGCCGTGATTGTACGTCATTACAGTAGAATTTATTGATAATTCCCACTTGATGTTCACACGTGAAGCCGAAGAGGGTGGTGGGAACTATGATTTCGGGACAGCCGACACGACAACCACCGAGGTCACTTGGAAGAGCTGGAGAATATGAGCCTTGGGTCTCAGCAACGTCGCGCAACCAAATCTGCTGATGCCTTCCCGCTGCAAGGGGATTTCGGCACTAGCCCGGTGCCAGCGGGATTCACCCGGTTGCCAGGAGTAGATCGCTTTGTAGCGCTGGGTCAGATCTTCTCCACCCAACACGTAGATCCGCTTCCCGCAGCGTACCACCCCTGCGTTGGCCAGTGCCCGCCGCAGCTTGGGGACGGCCACGTTTAAATTCACCTTGCCTGCCTCGTTGACGAAGAAGCACTTACGGGTGCCGTGACGGTTCTCGGGCACCAGCGCCCTCTCCTCCCAGTCCTCGGACTTCTTCTCAGCATATCCTCCGAAGACGTAGAGGCCGTTCTCGGCAGCCACGGCTCCTGCGGCGAAGAAGCCCGTGGCCAGAGGGACCTGTGTCCATGTGTTGGAAACCATCTCATAGATCAAGACTCCCTTATGGAACAGCCAGTGGTTTGAGATCCCCGTGGCGCCCCCAAGGAGATACACCTTCTGTCGCAACACGCCGGAGGCCGGGTGGCTCAGGGCAAAGGGCAGCTTAGCCACTGGGGTCCACGTCCCCGTGGCAAGGTCAAGGCTCTCAGCCAGGTTTAAGAAACTCTGGAATCTACACCAGCCACCCATGGCGTAGAGTTTTTGATGGTCAAACACGAAGCCATGGGCCACCCGGGGCACTGCCATGGGTGGGAGCTGCAGCCACTGGTTGGTGAAGGCGTTGAATTCGAACACGGCAGTGGAGTACAAGTTCTTGTGGACACCTCCTGAGAGGTAGACCCTGTCTCCGTTGGAGGTACAACAAGAGTGGGTCAAGGCCTTCAAGCCGGGAAGTTTCTCCCAGATTTCGGCCTGCGGCTCGTAGCAGTTCATTTGGGTCTCTTCGCTCTCCAGCGGTTGGTACTCACACATCTGGGTGTCGATGCACAGAATGTGCGGCTTGTACATGCCTTGGCGCAGTGCACGGCTTTGTTGCAACCGTTCCGGGCCGTCCATGACTTTCCGTTCTAGATCGAGGTCACCCCATCTCTCCAGATCTGCCTGGAGTACGTCCTGCTCCTCGGGGCCGAAGAGGGGGAAGCGGACGTGGCGCAAGAGCTCTCCGAGGAAGGGGCTGCGCTTCCGGGGCTCGCTCTGCACCCACCGCCGCACGACCTGGTAGACCCTGAGCTCGGAAGCGACTTCGAGGTCATCGGAGGAGATGACGGTGGCCAGATCAGCGGAGTCCAGTTGGAAGAAATTGTCCTCTTCAAAGGCCCGGTCGAAATTATTGATGAGGAGCTGGAGAACAGCGTGAAGGAGAGGCTGGCTGTGATGCTGTTGAGCTAGGGAATACATCTCAAAGCAGTTCTGGATGGAGATATGGGTCACCAGGAACCTAGGAGGAGAAAGAGATGGAGAAGGAGAGACCAACTTGGTCTTCAAAGAGAAGCTAAAAGGGCAGGTTGGTGTTGTTGTTTTTTTGAAGAATGAGGAGAGAAGGGTTGAACTGGGGGATCCTTGGTGCTTAGTTGTTTTCTTGTAGACGTCTCATAACCGAGCTAGGTTACGTCCTCCAAGCTAGAAGGCAGTAGGTTTTGAGGAGGAGGAGGAGGGGGAGGAGGAGGAGGAGGAGGAGGAGGAGGAGGACTGGGAGGGAGGACTGGGAGATCCTTGGTGCTCCTGGTTTCTAGCCTGGTTCCTTTTACCCCCTAAAAAAAGCTCTTTTAGTTTTTTTCTTAAACCAACTTTTTAAAAACCAATTATTTCGATCGTTAACCGATTTAGCTACCGTAGTTTCCTAAGCACAGAAGAAAAATAAAAACATCTTATTTTGGGTCTTGCCTCTTCTGTCTCGCCTTCACCTCCGAGGCTCTCCCATTTGAGCACGCTTGGTGGTGGCTTGGACGGGAGACCACTAAGAAATCTTAGGGAGGAGATCAAACTCTGTTAGAGATCAAAGAAGCCCTTTGCAAAAATTGTCATTCAACCTCTGGAAACCTACCCACAGCAGACGGTCTGCAAGGGGGTGATCTGCAGCTGGTTGGCTCCCGTGAAGAGCAAGGGCGCCAGCTCAGGCGTGAGTGCGAGTTCCTCCGTGTAGATGTATTTCAGGATGTTCTGCACGATGGACGGGGACACGCCCTGCAGCTGGACCTCCGTCCCTTCCAGCTCTTTCCCACCTTTGATGAAGACGTCCCGGAAATAAGGACTCACGGCTGCTAGCAAGGCCCTGCGACGAGAGGGACCCGTTGGGGATAAAGCTGAGAGCAGGGCTGGTCTGCAAAGGGACACGGTGGGAGGCCCTTACCTGTGGCAAGGGAACTTCTGTCCTTCAACCACAAGAGTGATGTCACAAAGCAGCTCCCCCTGGTACATCTCGGTCAATCCTGGCTTCGGGAAGAGGACACATGCTCAGTTCACAAGAATAGAGTAGAGTAGAGTAGAGTAGAGTAGAGTAGAGTAGAGTAGAGTAGAGTAGAGTAGAGTAGAGTAGAGTAGAGTAGAATTAGAGAAAACAGAGTAGAGTAGAATTAGAGAAAATAGAGTAGAGTAGAATTAGAGAAAATAGAGTAGAGTAGAATGAGAGAAAATAGAGTAGAGTAGAATTAGAGAAAATAGAGTAGAGTAGAGTAGAGTAGAGTAGAGTAGAATTAGAGAAAACAGAGTAGAGTAGAATTAGAGAAAATAGAGTAGAGTAGAATTAGAGAAAATAGAGTAGAGTAGAATTAGAGAAAATAGAGTAGAGTAGAATGAGAGAAAATAGAGTAGAGTAGAATTAGAGAAAATAGAGTAGAGTAGAGTAGAGTAGAATAGAATAGAATAGAATAGAATAGAATAGAATAGAATAGAATGACAGAGTTGGAAGGGACCTTGTAGGTCATCTAGTCCAACCCCTGTGCCCAGGCAGGAGACCCTACACCATTTCTAGGGTTGTGTGAACCCTTCAAAGTTGGGACACCTTCAGTAAGAGGTCCTTTGAAGCTTACCTTCCTTCAAACCAAGAGGTCTTGGTTTAAGCTTGGTGACCTGTCCTCTTTTCTGGCTAGTACTCATCGTAAGCTATAAAACAAAGAACGGAGGAGGTTTTTAGCCAGCCTACGATGGAATGAAAGACTGACAGTTGCATCAATTGTAGCTGAATGGCCTTTCACCTTTTAATACTTCTCCAGGATGGTGTGTAGTGGACGGTGGAGGTCCTGCCTCACAGGTCTTCCTTGCTGACCATTTTCCTGTGGTCATAACTCAAGGACTATCTATAACTAAACTTAGCTTTTCAATTAGCCATGATTGCCTGGATACTCAGCCATTCCTTCTTTGCTTGTCTCTCTGCTTTCAATCGGCCATGGACTAAGCTAATTTATTTATTCTAACGGACGGTTTCTTGTGCAAATTTGATTCCAAATGCTGTTTATTATTTCCTTATTAACTGTAACTAAACTTAGTTTTTCCAGAAGTAACCATGATCGACGGAGTGCTCAGCCATAACCCTTCTTTCCCTGTTCTCTCTGCTTTAAGTTGGCTATTCATTTATTTACGGCTTATTGTGCTGGTTTGGTTCCAAATGCTGTTTATTATTTTCTTAGTTCTGTAACTAAACTTAGTTTTCCAGAGGTAACCATGATCGACCGGGGGCTCAGCCATAACCCTTCTTTCCCTGTTCTCTCTGCTTTAAGTTGGCTATTCATTTATTTAGGGCTTATTGTGCTGGTTTGGTTCCAAATGCTGTTTATTATTTTCTTATTCCCTGCTCGGGCTTCGTGGAGAGAAAGCAGTGCAGGTAATAAATCATTTATTTTTTATTTTTTGCATCCTGAACTTGGCACGCTGGCTGGGAATTTTGGGTTTGTAGGTTGGAAACGGACAGGGAGATGACAGCCCTTCTGATCCTAAAGGCTCTGGGTGCGGGTTTTCTTACCTCTGAAGAGCGGCAATGAGCCCGAAGCTATAAAAAGTGTCAGGAAAAAAAATATGTCACTCTAGCCTGGACCCATCAGCCTGGGCCAGCGCGGTGCCCAGCTCGCCTGGCAGAGTTGCCTCCTGCCCCTCCGCTCCTTGGGGCTGCTCCTCCAGAGTCTTCTGGTGCCCCCCTGCCATGCCTGGAGGCTGAGAACCTCTGTCCCCAGGAAGACCCAGCGTCCAGCCTCTCTGGACGCCCAGCCATTGTGATGTCACATCTGCACACTGAGCTGTGTGCAGACAAAGGGCAATGGATAGGCTAGAGTGGAATCTGAAGTTCTTCAGGCTCAGATTTTGTCTGAAATGGTACAGGGTTTCCTGCCTGAGCAGGGGGTTGGACTAGATGACCTCCCAGGTCCCGTCCAACTCTTATTATTATTATGATGGATCATCGCACAGTCAGCCAGATGTTCAGACTGGATTTGGCATTTTGTCTACCTATCGAGGCCTTACCCAGGACCTGAGATAGGCAGATGTGGATGTTTGATGGTTTTACAGTATTATTATTATTATTATTATTATTATTATTATTATTATTATTATTATTATTATTATGGATCATCGCACAATCAGCCAGATGTTCAGACTGGATTTGGCATTTTGTCTACCTATCCTTACCCAGGACCTGGGATAGGCAGATGTGGATGTTTGATGGTATTACAGTATTATTATTATTATTATTATTATTATTATTATTATTATTATTATTATTATTATTATTATTATTATTATTATTATTATTATTATTCAGGGAGAGCCCTGGGTAGGCACAGATCCCTGGGGTGAGCTTGTTAGACCCCAGCAACCCTTTGTAGATTTCTGGACCGTGTTTTGAAATTGTGATTTTCCTGCGGGCACCCCGGGGAAACGGAGGGACGATGATTTTTAAGAGGGAGTGTTTCTGTTCCATTTTGAAACTGGCTCCAGTTATTAAATGAGACGGTATCCGATTTTTCACGCTTTGTAAAAGGTCCAGATTGACAAGGAAAGTTTGCTTGGGAAGAAGGAATCAAATATTACATGGGGACAGGTTTAATTCCAACAGGTAAAACGCATTGATGCGCTGCTGTAACCAAAGATTTATGCCAGTGTTTCTCAACTCGGACAATTTTAAGAGGGGTGGGCTTCCACTCCCAGAATCCCCCAGCCAGCATCCTTTAAGATGGGTGGACTTCCACTCCCAGAATCCCCCAGCCAGCATCTTTTAAGAGGGGTGGGCTTCAACTCCCAGAATCCCCCAGCCAGGATGCTATGAAGGTGTGCAGGCTTCAACTCCCAGAATCCCCCAGCTTCCACTGTGCAAGACTGAACGAGAGAACTGAGCCCCCTCCCCAGACCATCTCTGAGACTAATACTTGTTCTATGCTTTATTATTTTATTATTATGGTATTATCCGCCAGCAATAGCAGAACAAAACGTCATTCATTTCTTCCGCCAAGGTTCAAATCTTTAGCCGGAGGCGACAAAAATCATCTGCAAACTTCACGGTCCGCCTTTCTTCTCGCCTTTCTGATCACCCCCTTCAAGACCAAAGCAGAAAAGAAAGAGAAAAAATAACAGGCGTTCAACGCTGAAGTCATTTTCTTCGTCTCTCTCTCGGCTGTAACTTTCGGCGGTCACTAAACGAAGCACTGTGCGTCGACTCCAGAGGAGAGAATATCCCTTCGCGTTGACAGAAACTCACCTGAGCAGAAAGAGTCAGGACACACAAACCGCACTTTGTAATCGTGGCAAAATCCTCTTTTACCCTGGTCGGCGTGGATGCAAGCGAAGCCGTTCAGTGGGTCATTCCTGAAAGCGGGAGAAGAACCATCAGAACACAGGGGTGTCCTCAAGTTACGACCGCAAGGGAGCCCGACATTTCTGTGGCTAAGCGAGTCCGTTGTGGAGGGTGTGTCGCCCCATTTTTACAACCTCCCTTGCCACTCTTGTTAAGGGAATCCCCGCGGCTGTGACGCGAATCGTTGCCGTCCTTGAGCTAGCAAACGCAGTCGCCCCCTTCCCGGGGCTCTGTGACCGTCGTAAATACGAGCCGCTCGCCAAGCGTCCTGAATTTGGACCGCGCGACCGTGGGGAAGGCCGCGACGGTCGTAAAGGGTGAAAAATGGGTCATAAGCTGTTTTTTTTTGCGTGCCGAACGGTCACTCAGTGAAATGTTGAAAGCTGAGGGCTGCTTGTATCTATTGAGCAAAAAAGTTTTGGGACTCAGCAACTTGGAATCAAAGTTGTTGGAATCGACAACTTTGTTAGTTGCTAAGTCGCTTGGGAAGGGCAGCCGAAAAAGCTCAGATCCGGGGGGGGGAAAGGGGGCAACTGGGCATCTTACCGGGCAAATTGCTGTCCTGTTTGGGAAGCAGGGACCCCTTTGAGGGTCTCCACCTCTATGGCCAGGGGGTTTTGGCACAGAGCTTTGGGGAGTTCTTTCCGGATGTAGTAAACCAGCTCGTAATCCCCCGTGCCGGATGGATTGTCTCGGTTGATCCACTGCGTCTTGCAGACTAAGAACGGACAATAATCATAATAATAACCATCATAAAGGAAGTAAGTTATTGGCATTCGAAATCAGCGCCTCGTTTTTCTTTAAAAGTCCTCGGCTTACGACCGCCACTGAGCCCCCACATTTCTGCTGCTAGGTGAGTTTTTGCCCCATTTTAACAACCGTTCTTGCCACCTTGGTTAAGTGGATCCCTGCAGTTGCTAAATTGGTCAGATTGTGAGGTGAATCTGGCTTCATTGCTGGTCAGTAGGTTGCCGAAGGGGATCACGTGATCCCAGGATGTTGCCACCGTCGCAAATGTGAGTCGGCTGCCAAATCTCTCTCCGTTGTGGCTTTCAAACCATTCTTTTAAAAATGGTGTGCATTTTTTAACTTGGTTTTGAACCTACCTGGTGCGGGACTCTGGGAAGAGGTTATGTCCAGCTGTGGTTCGGTTTGGACTTGTCCTGTGCAATAAATGAAAATAAATAAAGCTTTTTCTGGCTAATTTTCTTGGTAGGACTTAAACTGAAGGGTCTTTTGCAAAATCCAGGAGGAGACAGGAAGGAAGGAAGGAAGGAAGGAAGGAAGGAAGGAAGGAAGGAAGGAAGGAAGGAAGGAAGGAAGGAAGGAAGGAAGGAAGGAAGGAAGGAAGGAAGGAGAAAGGGAGGGAGGGAGGAAAGAAAAAGGACAGTGAAGGAAGGAGAGAGAGAAAGGGGAAGGAAGGAAGGAGAAAGAGAAGGAAGGGAAGGAAGAAGAAAGGAAAAATGGAGGGAGGGAGGAAAGGAAGGAAGGAAGGAGGGAGGGAGGGGAAGGAAGGAAGGAAAGAGGGATGGAGTGAGGAAGAAAGGAAGGACAAGGAGGACAGAAGGGGAAAGGGGGAAGGAGAAGATGGAAAGAACGAAGGAAGGAAAGGAAGGTGAGAAGGAGGAGGAAGAGGAGGTTAAAACGAGTTGTATTGTCTCAGATGCCTTACCTGGCGTGGAACTCTGGAGAGACGTCCATGTCGTTGGCTCACGGGTGGCAGGAGAAACGGTGGTTGAACTCTCCTTCGGCTGATCCTTCTCTGTTGACGGACATCAACGGAGGGTTGACTTATTTGGGGGACCCCAACCCACCTCTTGTCGCCCCAAGGAGCCCCCCCCCATGGAGCTGGAAGAAGAGCTCCCGTAGGCGAATCGGGCTACTCTACGATAGCACCTTTCCTGATGGACCAACTTTATCAAAAAGCAACATTTTTTCAGCTCGCTCCATCCGGTCCCACCAGGTGCACGGCGTGAGTAGTACGTTGAGTTTAAGGAGAAGTGGTAGGAAAAAAAATGTTGTCTCTCTGTGTGTGTTGTGAGTGCCTGCAAAGGTGTGTAGGGGACGTGCGTTGACTTCTGTCAAGAGGCAGAAACAAAGGTCTGGAGGTCTTAGGGTCAGGATCGAAATGGACCTGGGACAGATGCTGGCCACAAACGGCAGGCGCAATTAAGCTGGAAGCGCCTGGCGCCTTCAGAGAAGCGGGTTCAAGTTATTCTTCTTTCTGCTACTTTTTCCTTCCCTCCAGGATTTTGTTACTCACCACAGAAGGATTTGGGACACAGGAACCTGACGCGGTAGTCCAGACACAGGGTCCCCTTGCCTTGTTGGGCGTTGACACAGGCAAACCCCTGCTTAGCATCATTTCTGTCAAAAGGACCCATCGAAAGCAATGTCAGATCCCTAAGGAGAGGGAGTCCGCTCCCCAGGGAAGGAATTGGGGCTGTGGGGTGCATTTTTCCTCCTCCCTCCTCCTCGCTTTTCCTTTTGTGCTGTGTCTTATAGCTTGGAGGCTGTGTTTTTCTGAGGTGTGAAGGCTTAGATAATAACACAACTACATCCTGCTTTGGACAGGCAGGTAAGGCCAGAATCTCACATGGCATAATACTGTCCCGTTTCGGAGGCCGGGACCCCTTCCCGGGTTTGAACCTCGATTCCGACGGGGGAGAGGCAGATAGCATCGGGGTTTTCGTCCAGGAGGTCGTGAAGGAGCTCGTAATCCCCCGTGCCCGAAGGATCGTCCCGATCGAACCACACAGTTTTGCAAACTAGGCCCCAAAAGAAAAGTAAAAAATAAAATAAAATTCACGACGACATGCAATTTTTAAAAATTCGTGCCGACCTATTTCCTTGCTTGGACAATAAGTAGAAAAATGAGTAGAAAAAAAACCACCAAATTGCATTCCTTTTTTCAAACTCTCCCGTTCGGCCTCTTAAATTCATTCAGCTGTGTCGGTCGCCCCCCAACTGATCTCTCCTTTCTAAATACGATGTAAATAGGAATATATTGAGTGTGCCTCTTGCTTTCTAAATATTTTATAGGCATCTGGGACAGCTGAGGTGCCCCGGAGCTCTCGTTTCTGTGTCAAAAATATTATTTGGGATATAGACTCTGAACCCTAAAAACCAAATTCTGAAAATGTAGGGGGAAATGTCATTTAAGGCTGCTATTCGGGTGACAATATTTTGTAATTTACGTGGGACTGGATCCAGGTTAATCAAGACAGACCCATGGATATCGGGTGGCTTAGTAAACCAGGATTCACTTAGATCACTGAGCAGGGGGTTGGACTAGATGATCTCCAAGGTCCCTTCCAACATCATCATCATCATCATCATCATCATCATCATCATCATCATCATCATCATCATCATCATCATCATTATTATTATTATTATTATATCCTCCTCCTTCTCCTTCTCTTCTCCTTCTCCTTCTCCTCCTCCTTCCTCCTCCTCCTCCCCCCTCCTCCACGAAAAGTGGAGAATAAACTCACCTTCAACCTGGACCCCAGTTTTTACTTCTGGAGTAGTTGGGGTGAGGACAGTGACCGGTGCCAAACTTGAGCCTGGAATGAAAAAGAGACATTCTCAATGCATATTCTAGAATAATTTGGATATTAGGGAGAGAGAGAAAAGAAGAGAGAGAGAAGAAGTCAGCCCTGCGAGGTGGGCCAAGTAAGAAGCACATCAAGGAATATTAGCTTTAATTTTACTGTAAGGTGACATCAAGAAAATCTTGCAGGTCCCTTTCTCCCCCCCCCCCTCACCTTTGCAACCTAAGAAACTAGGGAGGGTCCCTCCTGAGATGCTTCCCACCCCCCTTTTCCTCCTGGGGGCTCCTCTGCCTCTTATCTGACCGTGGTCTAGTCTGTGTCTCTTCCTCCTGTCTCCCAAGGCCACCCCCACAGACCATTACAGCATTTCTGCCCCCTCCTCTTTACAAGAAATGATTCCCACGCCCCTTTTCCATCCATGGGCTCCGTGGCCTGTTATCTGACCGTGGTCTAGTCTGTGTCTCTTCTCCCTGTTCAGCCGAGGACTCTTCCTCATGTTTCCTACCCAACTTATACTATACAACAGATAAACTTAAGTATTTTGCAGGTGTTTATTAAGGCCACCCTCGGCTCTAAATGCACAACGAGCGGTCCGCAAAGCAGTTATGATGATCTCTAGGTACCTTTCACTGGGATCTCTGGGGTGCTCTGGACTTGCCCCAGGGTGGACACCGGGACAGGAGAGGTGATGGTCTCTTGGCCTCCTGTGCAAAGAGGGAATCCCCCAAATATTATTTCTATTTTTGTCTCCCCCATTTCTAATATTTATTTTATATAGCGATCCATACACGTTTGTAGGTCGGACCTCACGATGAAGCCAAAGGCCCTCACCCGAACAGAAGTCTTGCGGGCACACGAACCGCACGCGGTAGTCATGGCAACGCCCTCCTTTCCCTTGCATGATGTTGAGGCAAATGAACCCAATCTTTGCTTGCTTCCTGCACCGGGCAAAGAAAGGAATGACATTATGAAAGCTGAAAAGCAGCCAGTTCTGGAAGTAGATCTCTCGTGATAGGAAAACAGTGTCCAGAAGTTAGCTCAATCCACAGCCTAGGATGAACCTCCAGGTTGGCTGCAGACCCCCCACTCCCTTCTAGCACTGATGATGTTCCCTAGGTGGGTCATGAAACGTCTGCAAGGAAACCAGCAAACTCAGAGAGCACCAAGGACCCAAAATTCTCCTCCTCCTCCTCCTCCTCCTCCTCCCTTTCTCTCTCTCCAAAACTCCTTTCCTTCTAGTCCTGATAATGTTCCCTAGTTGGGTCGTGAAACGTCTGCAAGGAAACCACCCAGCTCAGAGAGCATCAACGACCCAAAATTCTTCTCCTCCTCCTCCCTTTTAGCACTGATGATGTTCCCTAGTTGGGTCATGAAACGTCTGCAAGAAAACCACCCAGCTCAGAGAGCATCAACAACCCAAAATTCTCCTCCTCCTCCTCCTCCTCCTCCTCCTCCCCCCTTTCTCTCTCTCCAAAACTCCCTTCCTTCTAGTCCTGATAATGTTCCCTAGTTGGGTCGTGAAACGTCTGCAAGGAGACCACCCAGCTCAGAGAGCACCAAGGACCCCCACAGCCCACCCTGAGCCACAGAGGTTCTCAAATATTTTGCAAACGTTGCCATCCTGAAAACTCACACAGCAAACTCCTGCCCCGTTTCCGACGCCGGGATCCCCTCCAGCGTCTGAACCTCTATTTCTCTTGGCAGGAAGCAGATCTCGCCGGGATGCCGGAAAAGGATGTCCGCCACCAGTTCGTAATCTCCACTCTCGGCGGGGTCATCCTGGTCGAACCAGCGAGTGTAACACACTGCAAGGCGGGCGAAAGGAAGGGGAGGGAAATGGATGGAGGATTCTCCCCTCGACTTCCGCGGCGGGAAGGCCCGGTTCCCCAAAGGGTTCTACCTAGTCCTCGACTTGCGACAGTTTGCTTAGTGACCAAAGTGACAAGGGCCCTGAACAAAGGGATGTATGCTCTTTTTTTCACTCTAAACGACCGTTGCAGCCTCGCGTGGTCTAAATTCAGACCTGGCTCACATTTACGACGGTCGCAGCGTCCCCCGGGGTCACGTCGTCCCCTTTGGTGACCTTCCGACCTTCTGCACAGTCAAGGGGGAAGCGGGATTCCCTTCACAACCTTGTGACTCACTTAACAACGGCAGGGTTTCCCCTAACAACGGCGGCGAGGAAGGTCGTAAAACGTGGCCAAACCCCGTTTTGCTTAGCAACCTAAACGGCCGGGCTCCGTTTTGGTCGTAGGTTTGAGGAATACCTGGACTGGCCTACCTTGCTCGGAAACCGGAGACGTCTCTTGCTGTTTAGGGCTGGGGATGAGGGTTTGAGGAGTGACGGGCTTCGGTTCCGGTGTGGATGGGCCTTCTCCCTCTGCAAGGAAAAGGGAAGAAATTCGAATTTGGGGCTGGCGGTCTTCGTTTCGATCGGCGAGTTGAGTTGCTTCGTTTCTCCCTAACCTTTTGGGGGGCCTTGGGTGAGAATCTGCTGAGAATCAGGGGTGGGTGAGGGGGACGGGATGCCTTCCTCTTTACATCCAAGCAGGTCATCATATTCTGTTGAGATGGAAGCAAAAGCAAAAGTTAGGGGTATCGACTGGCTGAGGGAAAGAGACCTCCCCCTGGAAATAATTTGGCTAGGTGGGGGTCCCCAAAGTTCTTCTGCAGATAGGCTGCTTCGGAATATTTCGCTTTATTATCTTATTACCAGTGAGAATGTTAATTTCGTCCAACGTTTGTCTGTTTCTACGGTGAATTGCTCATCCCACCAACTGTCTTTTTTTTCCAGGAAGTTGTCCTGTTTTAAACCAGGATTTGCCGTCTATCTTCTTCCTTCTTCCTCTCCTCCTCCTCCTCCTCTTCCTCCTCCTCCTCCTCCTCCTCCTCTTCTTCTTTCATTCTTCTTATACTATCCTCCTTTTTCCTTCTTCTCCTCTTCTCCTTTTCTTTTTTATAATACCCTCCTCTTTTCTTCTTCTTCTCCTCCTCCCCTCCTTCTTTCCCCTATCTTCCTTCCTTTGTCCCCTTCTCCTTCTCTTCTTTCCTTTTCTTTTCTTTCCTTCCTTTCGTTCCTTCCTTCTCCTTCTCTTCTTCTTTTCTCTTTCTCCTTTTTCTTTCCCTTCCTTCCTTCCTTCCTCC